GTTAGGTGGCGCTGGTGTACGGACAGATGAACGAGCCCCCCGGTGCCCGTGCCAGAGTGGCTCTGACTGGACTGACAGTGGCTGAGTACTTCCGTGACCAGGAGGGTCAGGATGTGCTGCTTTTCATCGACAACATCTTCCGCTTCACACAGGCTGGCTCTGAGGTCTGTGTAATTTCAGGATATACATTTATAATTGTGGTTAAAATAAGGTTGTATTTCATAATTTTGAAAGATGATACACACATTTTGCAGCCAAATCTAAACCTCAAGTTTGGCTTAAAACGTTAATGAACATGCTTGATACTGATTTTATGTCCTTACCTCTCAGGTGTCTGCCCTGCTGGGTCGTATCCCCTCTGCTGTGGGTTATCAGCCCACTCTGGCCACTGACATGGGTACCATGCAGGAGAGAATCACCACCACCAAGAAGGGCTCAATCACATCTGTGCAGGTAAACAGTTACCTCAAGGAGGATGACTGACTTCATGTTCTGGTGATAGATTAAAATATACTTCAGGCTGACCAAGTCTCAATTCTCTCCACCAGGCCATCTATGTGCCTGCTGACGATTTGACTGACCCCGCCCCCGCCACCACCTTCGCTCACTTGGATGCCACCACTGTGTTGTCCCGTGCCATCGCTGAGCTGGGTATCTACCCTGCTGTCGACCCCTTGGACTCAACCTCCCGTATCATGGACCCCAACATCGTCGGAGCCGAGCACTACGACGTCGCCCGTGGTGTGCAGAAAATCCTCCAGGTTTGGGACTTGATCATTTTTACTTCCTCAAACCTGTATTCTTGATTTTTGACAGTAGCATTTAAACATTTGTACACTTCCTCCTGTAGGACTACAAATCTCTGCAGGATATCATTGCCATCCTGGGTATGGATGAGTTGTCTGAGGAGGACAAGCTGACTGTGGCCCGCGCCCGCAAGATCCAGCGTTTCCTGTCCCAGCCCTTCCAGGTGGCCGAGGTTTTCACTGGCCACATGGGCAAGCTGGTGCCCCTCAAAGAGACCATCAAGGGCTTCAAGAGCATCCTGGGTGGTAAGTGTGCCACATTTTTAGCTTGTGCTGGTGACCCTAGCCTCATTTTGAAATGTATTTAATATTAACTCTGTCTTTCATACCTGTTTCCCTGTAGGTGAGTACGATCCTCTGCCTGAGCAGGCCTTCTACATGGTCGGCCCCATCGAGGAAGTTGTTCAGAAGGCCGAGAAGCTGGCTGAGGAGCACTCATAAACATCTAAACAATCTCAGTTCTGTGGAGAAGAGAATCAAAGAGAGGGAGGGGGTCCTTTGGTTAAGGAGCACTTGGTTTGTAAAACATGTCAAAAATGCAAATGTACCTGTCCTGTCATCCTGAAAGAAAGTTCTATTTAATGTTTCCAATGAAAGATGGAATAAAACACTGTCTTTACACAAAACTTGTCAACTGTATATTTCCTATTATAGGCTTTCATATGTTGTAGTTGAGAATTTTGTTCCTAATGGGAAGTTTCATGAAATGGCTGTCCTCATCTACTCTGACCACAAGATGGCGTTCTTGAGCCATGTAAAGCTACTTGAACTGTGTTGCAGCTTGTCACGTACTGAAATAAAACGGCGGACAAACAATATTGCGTGTCTGTTTCAAACTGAAGGTCAAGTTTGTACAACACTAGAGGGAACACAGTGAGGAAAAAACTTATATTTGGTTTAGATTTCTAATCCTATACCTTATCAAAACTCCCTCAAATCTGTGATTGAACGGCAGTGTGCATCAGAATGATTTCATTACAAAGTAGATTGTAGTGCCCAATAGTACATAATTACTCCAACTGAGACAGAAACTGATGAACCAATTATTCATTTAAGTGCATTCAATTTGTCCACTATGAAAGTGTAAGCTTGTTGACAGGGGAGGAGAGAGCACTGGAAAACTACTCACGTAAAAGTACTGTTACTTAAAAGTTTTACTCGAAGTAAAATTAAAAGGTGTAGTTAGATAAAAGTAAGTCATTTAAAATGTAGTCTGAGTAAATGTTACTGCATTCTTCTCCCCCACTGCCATTAATCTAAGCTGCAAATATGTGCGAGCTGCTGGACAATTGAATTTCCCAAGAGGATGAATAAATTGTCAGTTTATCTGCCTATCTAGGCGGAAGAGGAGGGGTAAAATATGTTGTACGGTGACAATGATGATTAGATAATAAAACTATTAAATGAAAGAACATCTTCAGGCTACAGACACATATGCAGGTTGTTGTTCCAGGTGAGAACTGCACAGAAGGTAATCAGTGAATCCCAGTGAGGCACTTTGAAGCCTGTATACACAGTTTACTTGGTGCATCTAACTAAAATTAATGCAGTTTAATATATAACAGTCCTGAAATAATTCTTCCCTTAAAATGTTCAGTTTGTATTAAAATTGTTGTAGAGAGTTGTCTCTGTTATTTAGGCTACTTTCATTGATATAAATGGGACAATATAATAGATAATAGAAACACAAGGACACTACGGCGGGAAATGAAACAGCTGCTACTTCTCATAGAATTAACAACAGAATAAAGCAGCAGAAAATGCAGAGATGTATTTAAACAACATAAACTCCACAGCAACTGCAGCCGGTAAACACAGGACAAAACGCTGCGTTGCTCGGCAACACATTACTCGTTGATGCTGCGCGGTGAGTCATCAGTCATGTATTGTATTCACCTGTGTGGACGTCACTCTGAACCACGAAGCTCCTCCACAATCCGCTCTACAGCCGACTTCTCTGCTCGAAGTGAACGTTGAAATCACGGCAGAAAGACCCGCCGTCAGTGTTTTAGCTTTTAGCCGTTAGCCAGACCCAGCATGCACCTGTTGGTCACGCAACATGGCAGGTGTGTTTAATTTGGGACAATTGATGTGCTCGCCGGGCGGTACAGCCAATCAGCAGCTTCTTGTCTGCTGCAGCTACTTATTTGACTCATTTCATTAGTCACAAGCCACGAAGGCCGAATTGAAATGAGCCGGTCTGGTCTAATTTGGCTGTGCGTCACTAGATGTGCCCGCCGTTGCGTCATTGCCTAGCAACGTTGATAACGTGTAAGTTCTTCCACAAAAAAACTTGTTTTAACAGTTGTGCCGTTAGGTGTTGAACTGAGCCAAAACCCAATATTTACATTTAAAAGTGGCTCTCTGGAGGCGTTTGCTTTCATTACCGGCGCGCAATGAATCTTGGGATAGGTTGAAGCCTTAGTTTGTCGGCCGCACAGCTCTGGCCTGGTCGCGTCCCTGTGACGCAATGCGGCCGCTATACTTCAGCTTCCTAGCTACTACAGCTAGCAGCAGTACTGAAAGTGTCTGCTACGGTTCAGAAAAAGGACAACGCAATCCTCTAACCAAAGCATAGTCAATTTAAAAGAAAAACTTGTAACTAGCAAATAAATTATTTGTGTAATCATGTAAACTATTGGTCTTTTACCTTTTTTGCCTATGTGCAAGAGCAACTGTGGTCAAAGGTTAAGATCACCATGGCCTCACAAAACACTTTCTCAAGCCATTTCTCAAGACTTCACACAGTAATTAAGACTATTTCACACAAATGGTTAGTTTATATGACCCTGGATAAACAGGGATGTAACCTGAAACTATAACCCTAGTACATGTGGTGGAGGGATACAACCACAAGGTGGCAATTCTAGTTTGACAAAATATCCCTTTTGTTTACAATTCCCTCTGCTTCTTTCTCACTGATGAGACTTTTGCCCACACAGTCAGCTTCATGGTTAAATAATTTGTTTGCCAGTGCGGCGTTGAGTGAACAATAAGGGGAGAAATGAAGTGAAAGGGGCCAACAACTCCACCGGGGGACACACTCCAGGATACACCATTTCTAACCCTAGATGTAAAAAGGATACCAGGACACAGGCTCGTTACTGACAAGGCAGATACGTGTTTTAGAAACAATATATTTTATTAGAACTAAATATAAAATAGCAGGGACTGGAACTGCTGAAAAAGGAAATATATTAACAAATGAAATCACTACAAACATAAGGAATAAAACTTGTGTATAGAAGTGTTGTACAAGATCAGTGCAACACAGACTAAGCAAAATAAGACAAGAAAAGTGAGCTGAGGCCACTTGTGGAGAGGTACATTACCCAGTGGTGCTACTACTTACTCACCTCAGGTGCAACACAACAAACCTCACTGCAAACGTAATCCAAAAACACTGCCCGTAATCACATGCACAAAGTGTGGGGACCTCACCTGGGGTGTCTTGCCTCCCAACTATGCAGCACTCAGCTACACTGCAAAAGAAAGGCTAATGCAAAACAATTTATCACAAGTTAATAAACTAAACAACCAAATCACAAACAACCCAGGTGACTAAACAAACAAAACCAATAAAGCAAAGTTAACCATAAGGCCAAACAAAGTATGTAGAACTAATGCAAAACGACAGCAGGTGAATCACCTCTGGTACAGGGCATGAAGAGCTCGCTCTGGGTGGACAGGTCAACAACCGTTTAGGGGGCACAGCTGCAGCCACTGATACCAGCCATAACTGACAGGAACCAGCAAGAGACTGAACAAAAGCCAGCAGGTGCCCTTTATAACCTGGCCCTGATGAGGAGGCCAACTGGAGGAGGAGTCATCCCAGGGCTACGTTCACAAACCTTACACTACCTGAAAGCATTTCCCACTACACAAGTTTGAAGTTACATTTTTAAATATCAAAATGTTTGATGTTTATTCATATTAGCACAAATCTGATTCCATACCACAGCAGGCAAGACAAAATATTAAGGACTTTTTTTTTTTTATACCTTTAAGGAATTTAAATTCAATGCTTTCTAAGACGCTTCGAGACCTGCAGATGGTCTGTGCTGAGTCAGGACTTTAAAAACTACTGTGTAACATCACTGGTTAATTTAAGGCACTCAGACAGATAAGCTGTGAGAAACTGCACTGGTGTGGGTTCCCAAAAATAATACATGTAAAAATGAATGAAAAACAGAATAGAAAAAAAAGGTGTTTATTTTTAAACCAGCGTAATTTTATCAGCAACCATTCAAAGTTTCAAAGACAGAGTCTGTTTAGCCTGTGTTTGATGATTGGGTCATGGGTCGGTTACAGTCCTGAGTTTTGCAGGTGTGTGTTTGCAAAATGACCTCACAGCTCTGTATCTTTGCTCCTCACATACTCCTTATTATTACTGCACAGTGCCACAATGACTAGTTTCTATTTCAAGTTGTATTTCGACAAATAGCACAAAACATGTGCTTTGTGAAGAAGTCTGTTTCTTTATTGCTCTTCCTTAACCTTTCACACACACCTATCATCCAGGACATTAGACTGAACAAAGCTCTATCTGCCTGGAGATAAGGTGGCCTTGAAAATGACAATAATTTATCAGCCAGTGAGGGAAACTATTCAGAGGAGGGATACACAGTACTTCATTAGGTGTCATGTTGGCTACCAAAAGTGCTTCAGTTATACAATTACATACAATAGATGAGTCTAAAATGTGCACACATGAATATAAAAAAACACATTTTATTGTATCTGCCTGGCAATAGGAACGGCTTCCATCGTCATGATGTAATCAGAGAGGCGGCTCGGCATGTATGACAGCGGCAGCCAGAAGAGCTTGGCGTCCCAGCCGGGGGAGTATCGTGTGCGGGGCCTGACGGCGGACACAGCGTGCTCCATGCAGCTGACCACCTTCATCAGATCGGCATCGCTGATCTTGGCAACTTTGTCTGTCAGCACGTCCATTACTAGGAGGGGAGAAAAGAGTGGAATAAATAAAAAGATGAATTAAAAATAAATGCATAACTGAAGAAAAGAGATGATCCAGACTTACCCTTTTGTAGATATTCAGTTCCATAGTCATCTCTGACCTCCTGGGGCATCTTCTCCCACAGCGTCTTGATACTCTTGCTCAGGATACCAGCGTCCGTCACGTTTGTTTTGAAGAAGCCTGGCTCAATGCAGAGGACTTTGACCCCGAAAGGTACCATATTTATCCTTAAGAAAACATTTCATGTTGTCAGTGCTTGGCTATGATTAACATACCGACAAGTATTTCATCATGTGAGTTAATGTTTCACCTGAGGCTGTCATTGAACGCCTCCACGCCGTACTTAGAGACAGTGTACGGGCCTCCGGTGGCACTGATCCTCCCAAACACACTCGCCACATTCACCACTCTTCCTCTGGCTTTCTTAATCAGCGGCAGGACGCTCAGGGTCACAGCAATCACCCCGTTCAGGTTCACGTCCAGCATGGACTTGTAGTCGTCGATCGTCAGCCAATCGCACGGGGCAGACGGGACGGCCACGCCTGCGTTGTTCACCACTGCCCATAAACCTGGGAGGATCAAGCAGAGGAAAACCAGTCGTTCAAAACTGGTTCTGTTGACCAGAACCAAGAGGACACAGCACATTAGTCCAGTTTCAGCTTCCTGTTACATTAACGTGTCCTTATACATAAAGGCCTTAATGGCTAGAACAAGCTACATTACTAACTCCATTATTGACTATATACATCCAGGAACACTGAGATCATCTGCTGCTGCTTTACTGAAGGTTCCCAGTAACAGCCGGAGGAAAACTGGGGATGCAGCCTTTGTCAGTTACGGCCCAAAGCTGGGGAGCACACGACCTTTAGATATCAGAGAAGTCAATATTCATTGATTGTTTTATTATTTTACATTAATGTTTTGAACATGTTTTAATGTCTTTTCATGTGAAGCACTTGGTGCATGTCATTTCTTGGTTGTAAAACATTTTGTGTTGCATTTCTTGTAGGAAAGGTACAATACAAATAAAGTTTATCATATTTTAAGCTCCTCCACACCCAACTCACTTCCTGCTGCAGGAAATTCAAAGCATGTTAATACACGCTGAATATATTTCAGAAGGTCTTAACATGGAGGAGATTAAAAGTCAGCGGCTACTTTATCCTATTTTCATGACAGCACATGCAATGGTTGTGACTCACCACGCTGCCCCACTTCGTCCTTGATCATCGCTGCCACTTTGGCAATGCTGTCCTTAGACCTGACATCCAGGTGTGTTGTGATCAGGTTGCGGGAGCAGGACTTCTTCAGGTCCTCCTCTCCCTTCTCGGTGAAACAGGCGGCGATCACCCTGAACCCCTTCTTGTCCAGATGGCGTGCCAGGAGGTTGCCGAAGCCCGAGTCGCAGCCCGTGATGTAGACATACTTGCTGCCCTTGTCGGAAACCCTGGGCAACTCCCTGACCCAGCGGTACAGGTAGAAGAAAACAACCAGCCCCAGGAGGTACAGATACATGACTGCAGGAGCAGAGATGCAGAACTGTTAACTGCTGGATCTGAGCAGCACTGCGCTGAGACAGCCAGTATGTGGCAATATATTGTTGTGCAAGGTGCTGCAGGTCAGAGCAGTTCTGAGGAATTTGCACTTTGATCATTTCCACTTTGTACTTGTATCCTCCGACATTTCAGAGAGGATATTGTCCTTTTTTTTTTTTTACCTTTTATACTTCCTCTGCTTATAAAATTATATTCAGATTTAACTATCAACATCATATAAAATGGTTAAAATTAGCTCCACCTCATTAAACATAATAGTATAATAACACTAACACATTAATGCATCAATATTAATAATCCAATAACGTTAATGATGCAAAATGAAAACTTAACAAGTACATTTTTATGTATCCTTTCAAAATAAGAGCTCATGCGTGCTTCTATCTCTCTACATTTCAGTGGTAAATTTAACATTTAACTCTCCTACACATTAAAACTCATAGTTGACTTGCTGCCTTTGTTAATGAATTTTATATAATTATAATTATAATATTATAATTTTATTTTTCTATAATGTCGTCACAGCCAACTCCTACTGTGTCAGTCATGAACAGCTCGGTTTAAACTTGGCAGTGTCCAAACCAGGGCTACTTTAAATAAAAATGAGGCAGAAGATTCTTCAGCAAAGACCATGATCTTATCTGAAGTCCATGTCTGAAATATAGGAAATAAAGAAAGACTCTTTCTGCTGTCACTCCCGTCCGAGTTGAGAAGGTGGAGGTATTGTAATGTTTGTTTGATTAATCAGACAGCCTGCGGCAGTTGTCCGTCCTTCTGTTGATTCAATCAACTTTTTGTGGCCATGTCTCCAGGCTCTGCAGAATATTCTACAAGCTCTTTTATTCCACCGGTTCTGCAAGTCATTCAGTGGTTGTTTCATTAGTTGCTGTAAATGTGGAATAATACTTGTTGACATAAGTAAATTACTTATGAGTATTTTTTTTTTTAAATCAAATACTGCAGTACTTTAACTTCTCCACCTTCCACTTGTATTGGAGGAATATTTGACCTTGACTCCAGTAATAAAGTTATGCACTTTGTCCACCTCTGATTTAAAGTAACTTCTATATGAAGTTAAATTAAGAGATTTCGCGTCATTAATGATTAATTCAACTCCTCCACTAGCTTCATTTGTTGCTGCCTTGTTACACAACTCGACAGATATTATTGGCGGTAAAGTGATTTCAAAGTGCAGTGATCCAGAGTTTGTTCAATCGATTAACACACACAACAAAGTTTCTGGTTTTCTAACGGTTTGCACTGTTTATTTATAACCTGTATTTACTCTAGCTGATCTTATATTTCTTCTGTTGTTGAAGTGTTGTAGAGAAATGTACAACATGTGAACGAAAAGTTAAAAGGCAATCGCACCTATTGTTACCAAATCAAACAGCTAAATATGAACATTTATGAACAAAATTATGTCAATTAAGAAACCCACGAACCTCCTACCTATCGTGCAGAAGTCTTCCTCGACTATTTCCGCTGATAATCCGACAGTTTCAAACCGCACAGTTCAGACCCCGCCCCTCATCAGCATATAAGTAAAACCATGTGTTCAGCGGGAAACTGGTTCCACATACCGGCCAGGATGTTGATGACAGATCTGCTTCTAAATAAACAAAGGCGGTTACATTCATTGTGTCTTATTGACATTCAGTGGATAGTAAACATTTAAAACAAGAATATAATAGAAAGAAGAAACATAAAACTTAAAGGTCCCATATTGTTTAAAGGTATTTAATGCTGTTGTAGTTTTGGTATTAGAGATTGGGAATCTGCAAACCCTTGTTTGGCTCTAGTGGTTTAATCCTCAAGGTCTCCATGATTATTCAGGCATATTATAACAGATCCACAGAAAACCTCCCTGGCTTGTTATATCTGTTTCCTCTCTACGGTCGAGCGCATCATTAAACATCCTGCCTCTGTTCAACAGCACAGGATGTGAAAAATCCCTAAATAATACCCACAGAAGGCCCACACTGTATAAACTGTTTGGTCATCAGTCTCTTTCTACATTTTTACCACAAGGTGGCAGCAGTGTTGTTTGGTGATTCATTTCCTGTTGCCCACATGCTGACTTTACCAACTCCAAATCTTGCACATGTGAATCTATTTTTGATGTTTTAGTAGAAAATAGATCATGTACTTGTCATTCACACAGCGCTGCTAAACAAAATAATGTAACAAAACAGACCTACAGACAATTCACACTCAGATGTCAATGCAACTTTCCAACTGCTTAATGTTCCAGTAACTACCTGATAATTTAATTTTTTCTGTAAATGGCCCATTCATCACCTTGAATAAAGATGTCATTAACCTCATCCTGGACTTTTCACATTAGATAAACACTGAAATTATGGCTATGATGAGTTCAGTGTAAATCACTAAAGCTTAAAGCTACAGTGTGGAACTTTTGTCTCCGCCCTCAGGCAGTGACAGTAATTACACAAACAGCGAGTAAAAGCCACATCAATGGTAATCAGTGTTCATCCTCGCCATCGATGGCTTCCTCTTTTAGACTGTAATCTTTCCCCCCATTCTCATTATCTGTCACTTCAGTTGCTCCCGTCTTCAGCGCTGGCAGACCAAGCATTGCTTGTAATGTCACCACAGACACCAGATTTAAAACTCCTGTAAACTGTAAAAACGTAGAGAGATTCACCAGGCTTGAATGTGACAGAAGTTTTATTTAGGATATGTAAAACTCCTGCAATCTAGCTTTAAGTCGTTAGTACATTATCATGTCCCCTTCACCTGAACCTTCATGGACATATGTTAATGATACTCCTCTTTGTTATTTCCTGACAGCACTTGAAGGCAGCAGTCAGCGACCGGCAGTACATTACCCCCAGTGAGCAATCAGTTGTTTTCATGGGCACCCAGCCAGTCATTTATATGACAATATAAATCACAGTTAGTATAATTTCTTACAGACTTAAAGAGTTTGACTTACATATAAAAATGAAGCATTTTGTGTGTCTCAATTTTTCATAATTTAAAATATTCTGGGATTTTTTAATTCAAATTCTAATGATGTAAACATACCTTGAGCTGCACGAGAAACATTAATATTAGTTTTTGATTTAGAGTGTTAATTAATTTCCTTTCAGCTGTCAGTTTTCAAAGGTTCAAACAAAGGAACGGACAGAAATGTTAATAAGATATAACAAAAGGTCAACTACAATTTTAATTTGCTGTTGAGTTTAAAGGAATTAATTAAGAAGCCTTCATTTTGTCCGTTTAGTGTGGGAGTTTTTGTGTGTATTTGAAACCTGCAGTGATTTGCTGAGAGCCGAATGAAAATAACGCGTGAAAAAAAAATGACTTATCTATGAAGCTGAGGAAGTCGAGTAGGAAGAGGGCACTAACCTCCAGGGCAGCATTTTTAAAGGTCACAACACCTCCACCCAGCCTCCACTCATGCTCACATGTTTAGAGCAGCATTTAAAACTGTATGTAAGCTAACTGTAAAGGCTATTTAACGTTTATATTTGTAACTTTTGTGCAGCAGTGTGATGATTACAGGATAATGTTTAATGTGCAAGCATAATGTAACACTAGCAAAAGTAAAGAACAGTCATTAAGCCATCAAACTGAATCAGTAATGTATGTTTTTATAGAAATATATAGCCTACCTATGTTTGCTAACATTAGCTATAACATTAGCCATCATGTACTACTCTTCATACCGGCCTAAGTAAGGCTGTAGTCGCAAAACTCCTGACTGTACTGAATTAAGAAAGAGTGTGTTTTATTGTTTTAAGCTTTAGTATTAAGCTTTTATTTTGTGAGAAAAACAATGTGTTATTTCATCTTTTAAAAGTCACATAGTCTTGTTTTAAGAGACTGCTAACGACGGCGTTATTAGCTAGTGGATTAGATAATGGGGAGGGTTTAATGTGTTACAAGACTGATGTAGCATTTATAACTTAAGGAATAACAATAATAATAATAGAATAATTACTATTTACAGCTTTGTTTCGTCAAATCAAACATTAAGTTCTAGAGCGGTGGCTGCTTTTTTGTGACATCACAAAGTTGCAGAAGTCCTGACGGCTGGTTTTAAGGCTCAGTTTCTGAATACAGGCTGTGTGCATTTCTCTGTGGACTGAGGCTTTGATACTTTCACAGTATTAATATAGAAGCTAGAGCTGATCTATAATCACACTACACATGGACAGAGGCCTTTACACTATATGGGACCTTTAATGTTGATCCTATTTCGCAGTATTGATAATCTAAGAAACACTTTGTATTGGTAGTATCACTTCCACCCATAATTCTCAGACTCCACTGTAGCCTTTAAAATAATTGGAAAATAGTTCAGTAAAGCCTCTGGTTTTTGCTTAAATCCCATTAATCCTTACATTAATAAGGACCTTACGAAGTCTCAGGGTCGATCAAATCTCTTGTCATACACTTGAAGAACTGAGTTGTTTCCACAGTCCAAAAAGTCCTTCAACCATCTGTCACTGTTGAATCAGTTTGGTTTATATGCTGCTTCTTATCCACTTGGCAAGCTAACGTAATAATCCAGTGTACTGTAATTTAAGCATTTACATAATCAATTGGATTTCATTTCAGTGTTTCCTTACTCAAGGTTTTCTTTTACACACACATATTATTCATAAAATGAAGGATTCTAAAGATTGTAATGAAAAAATAAATAAAAAAAAGGATTGCATAATATTCATTTAAAGCTTTCAGCTGTGTGGATGCATCACTCATAATGCAGAAGGCGTGCAGAGCCTCTGCAGGTATAAAATGTTTGCTCTGTCGAGGTCACTGACTTGTTCAGCAGCATAAACCGACAGGACACTTACCCTCAAACAAAACACTCTGACCCCGAGTTCCAGCCAAGCCAAATTCCTGTTCAATAAGAGCACGTGTATTGCTGCTAAGGTACACAGTGTTGTCCTATACACAGGTGACAAGCTGCCACAACTACTACCACAGCTAACTAGGAGACATAACTGGATGTCAGGATACTGGAGAGTAGGAGCGCTGCTGGTGCTACTGGTTTAATCCGACTTGACTCCTTTTTTTATGACCAGTTTCAATCAAGGATAATTTCCTCTGTAAAGGAAACGTGTTGGTGAGTTTTACCTCAAAGGTGGATGGCTGTTTTAAAAAGCTAAATAAATGTACTTTCTGGTTGGATTTGAATTTTGACATGACATGTCACACACTAATTATTCTGCTTTTGAACATCTGAAATTAGTTTTCTCTTTGCTTCTCCAAGATGCGTCAACATGCCGACTGGATCAGTAAAACTGCAGAGCATTAAAAAACTGGGACAGGAGAACCACAGCTATGAGGTTTCAGATGATGGTAATGAACCATTATGTCTGATTTTCTTGACAGAGTTGATGCTTCATCGAAGAAAAAATCTCCAACATAAAAATGTTATAATTCATTTAATTCAGATAGAATATTATGGTTGTATGGATGTTTTATTTTGAAAAATGTAATGCATATTTAATTCTTGTGTTGCAGAACCAGCCGGCTCCTATATGTAAGTACAATATCTTATATGTATATGATTCTCCCATACAGAAATGTAATATATGACATACAGTATGTCACTATACGCAGAGTGATGTTGCCATATATGTCATACTATCATCACATATATACCCATAGTGACATTTGTATATACATTAAAATATCTATATGATGGATTTTTACATGGACTATATATGTTAACGATGTATATTTGGTTTAGATAAGTTTATTAAAACAACATACATATAAAAATTCTATATGCATATATATGTTTTTCTTATTCATTTTAATGTCTATCTTCCCATCTTCTTCTCTGACTTTTTTTATATAATATCAACATATACTGACAGGCTTTAGGATGGATTTATATTTATGTAACATACAGTATGTCTATAATATATATATACATGTACATACACACGAGTCTGGTGAGTTTTAATTACTAGAAAGATTAATCTTTTATCTCTGTGGCTGACGTCCATGTGCTTGTGTGTAGGTGTGTAACCTACATACGCAGGTCTGTTTATTTACATGTGTGTATGTGCTTTTGTTTACAGCGTCTCAGATGAGATGAGGAAGATAAATGCTATAACTGCTGTATCAGAGAATAGCTAACATTTCATGATAAGGTTACACATCACATGCTGAAGAGTTTATGTAATTTGTTAGTACTTAATTATAAAGGGTCTTAAGGCTCAATACAACTTGAGAAAATGTGTGAATAGATTAAACAAAAGCAAACTGCAAAAAAAAGGAGAATCTGACATTAGTATTTAGAAATATAAACGCAGGAATGCTGCAGGTTGCACAGTATTTGAGGTGCGTTTGTATTTCTTATGTCGCAGTGCAGTGGGCTCTCTCCGCACTTAATAGAAACTCAATTAAACTAAAAGTTGATGTATGAAGAAACTGTAAATTGAAAATCGTTAAAATCATTATTTGATGACACATTAAGCCTTGACTAATGATATAAAGTCATTGTGACTTCATCATCTATTA